TCACTGCTGTCCCGGATGTGGATACTTCTGCCTCTCTGTGAGTCTCTCTGAAATGAAGGAAGGAAAATACGCATTTACAAACACTACCAAATGCTGTTGTGTATCAAATAAGAAAGCTCTTTTACACACAACACTTTTTAAAATAATAAATATAGAAATATATAAAAAAAAATTAAAAATAGATAAAAAATAAATATATTTATAAAAAATATTTATTTTTTTATTTATAGAATTTTAATCAAATTTATTTATTAATTGTGTTCATGTATTTCCAATATTCCATTATTGTTTATGCATTTTCTGTTTCTTATTTATTTATTTTGTTTATTTCGACTATTTATTTATTTATTATAAATGTATTTGTTTTTTAGGATATTATATATAACATTTTTGTATTTTATTTTTTTAATTTTTAAAAATTATTTTATTATTATAATTTTTAATAATGTTTTTTTTTGTATTTAGTTTTTTTTTTTATTCTCCTTTTTTTTAAACTATTCTCTAAATCTTTACTGTTGGATATTTTCAGTGGGTTTTTTGTCAGGAAAAACTTTTTTATTTAAAGTTAATAATTCCATAATTTTACAGCACATTTCTGATTCTCTCATGTTGTCAAATATTCACATTACATGCATGTTAACAAATAACTAAACTCATTTATTAATCTTTTATTAAGTGTTTTATTTTGAATTTAAATCAATTTTAAATTACATCTAATTGCTTAGTTTTTTTTTAGGTTTTAATTATTAGCATCTCATAATCTCACAAACCTGATTTACTTTAATATTTAATCAAAGAGCTCTTCTCGTTACTCTGTTTTTTTGTGTGTGTGCAGGGAACGTTTCTGGAATGTTGTCCGGACGTTCACATTACTCACCGTTTCCACCGCAGCTGTGTGTCAGTGCTGGGCAGTGGGCGGAGCCGAGGAGCAGCAGGCGGGTCTGATGATCAGTGGGCTGAGCCGACAAGCAGTGGGCGGAGTCGAGGAACAGTGGGTGTCGGCCTGTTGTTCTGTCCTCACTGTGGTGAAGACGCATCAGAAGCGCGCACTGTCTCCATCCCGCCAGAAGCGCCCCCTGCTGGATCTCATGTGGTCACTGCGAGCGCTTCATCCACTACTGCTAGCAACCACACTCAACACACACCCCAAACACACCGCAGGACCACAGACAATCTCAAGTAAGCAGATTCAACTTCTTTCATTTATTTATTTATTTTTTTTGTCCCTAATGACAGCAACATTAACCCCAAAAAATTAAATGCAAATAAAAATAATAACAATGGATAAATAAATAAATAAATAAATTAATTAATTAATTAATTAATTAAAATAATAAAGATAGTAGGTAAATAAATACATTCAAATAATTAAATTAAAATTAAATGCAAGATGAAGTCAATTATTAGGTAAACAAAAATAAAAATAAATAATTAAAATAAAATTCAAGATGTAGTCAATTATTAGGTAATTAAATAGATTTAATAATTAATTAAAATAAAATTCAAGATGAAGTCGATTTTTAGGTAATTAAATAAATGTATAATTAACTAAAATAAAATTCAAAATGAAGTCAATTATTAGGTAAATAAATAAACTAACTAATTATTTAAAATTAAATTTAAGATGAAGTCGATTTTTATTTTTATTTAATTAAATTTATTAATTCAAATAAAATTCAAGTTAAAGTCGATTGTTAGGTAAATAAATAAACAGTAACTAATTAATTACAATTAAATGCAAGATGAAGTCAGTAATTAATAAAAAAAGAAAATTTATTTAAATAAATAAATTCACAACATAATTATCCAGACAAATATGCAGATTATTATTACAGATGTAATATTTATTAAATACAAATAGTAATTATAGTAAGTAAATGCATTATAAATTAAAGTAAAACTCAAGATAAAGTCAATTTTTAGGTAAACAAATAAAAATAACTAATTAAATAAAAATAAAATTCAAGATGAAGTCGAATATTTAGTAAATAAATAAATAATAAATAAATAAATAAAAATCAAGATAAAGTCGAATATTAGGTAAATAAATAAATAAAAAAACAATTAAAATAAAATTCAAGATGAAGTCAAATATTTGGTAATTAAATAAATAAAAAAATGAATTAAAATAAAATTCAAGATGAAGTTATTTTTTTATTATAAAAATATATATTAAATTAAAATAAATAAAGACAACATGGTCATCCAGATTTGCTCTTTATTATCACAGATGTAGTTGATTAAATTCATATAGTAATTAAAGTAAATAATAAAAAATTAATAAAAGTAAAATTCGAGATGACGTCAAATAATATTTTAAATAATAAATAAATAAATAAACATACAGCACTGTCATCCAGACAGATATGCACATTACATATATTTAATCAAGTGATGTTCAACAACATTTTAGGACATTTTAATTCAGAAATGTTTGCAATTCTTAATGTAAACAATCAGTTGAAATCTGTTTGGAATTATTAATAGTATTTTTCATTTATTTATTCACCTGCAGTGTCTTGCCTTTTAATGTTAATTAATTATAATATTATAATGTTTATTAATTAGTCTGTATATTAATGAGCAAAAATGACTACATATGATTTTTATGTTTTTTAAGGGTGTACATATGTTGAAATTAGCAACTTAAACTGTTATATAGTGTTTCATTTGTTTATGTTTTCTTAAGGTTGTATTCATGTTGAAATGATCAACGTTAACTGAAGTCTTTTTCTTTTGGATGCAGTGCCAGGATGCGTTGTCGTGGAGATGCGAGAAAGGGGGCGGAGCTTCAGTCTCAGCCGACCAATGGCGCTGCTGCAGGGAGCGGGGAGGAGGATGTGGTTGCTGTGGGTGATGGTGGGGTGGACAGTGTTGGTCCGTCGCTCGTTCTGCCCAATGGGAAGCCGGTGTGTCCGAGTGCACTTCCTGCTGGAGACAGAAGGGCGGCGCTGCAGAGAGCCATACTCACACAGGACTCCGAGAGGTGCAGATAATGTTATTGTTATATATACAAATATTTATAATAAGTAAGAAATGCTGAAGTATAGACTTAAAAAATAATAAATAATAATATCATAACAAAATGATATACACAGAAATTACGAACTTCTAACAATGCCAAATTAAAATACAAAGTTTAACAATAAAAACAAATAAAGTAAGTGTTGGTGATGACACTGTGAAATGTCACATTTGTTTATTGGTAATAATTAATTAAAAGAAGCACGGAATGGATAGAGATCATTTCCGATGATGTCGTTGTCATGTGATCTGCTTGTCTGTTTCTGATTGGTCAGGAGGAAGAAGTTGCGCTTTCATCCCCGTCAGCTTTACCCTGCAGCCAAACAGGGGGAAGCTCAGAGAGTTCTGCTCATGCTCAGTGCGTAGCTGCTGTTCTCGCTCTCTCACACACACACACACACACACACACACACACACACACGCGCACACACACACACACACACCTAATGTGTATTTCTGCATTACATCTCATGGCTTCTCTCTCTCGCTCTCTCTCTCTCTCTTTCCGTGTGTGTGTGTGTCAGTGGAGGGTATGGACCCATCATATCAGTCAGACTCTCAGAACCGGCGCTGTGCTCTTCACGCCGCGGCTCAGCGAGGTCTGCTGGAGATCTGCTATCTGCTCGTACAGGTCAAACTTACACACAAACACTGCACTATACACATTTACACACACACTGCACTACTCAACATCCTTAAACAAGTTCTGGATCACTCACAGTGTCTATGTGTAATATTTTAACACAGAACCATTGCTCTATTAAATATATCTATAAATATAACTCATATTACTATCGCTGATACTGATCGTCTATTAGGTTTCTGGAAGCGAATCTCCTTGTCTGTATTTACTGAAATTAAAATGCTGACAGGAAAATAATATTGAATAAAATAATTATATCTGCATGTGCTTCTGCTGATTTTAGGCAGGCGCTAAAGTGGACGCCCAAGACAAGAGCCTGAGGACCCCGCTGTTAGAAGCCATAGTGAACAATCATGTGGATGTAGTGAAATACCTGATCCAGAGCGGAGCCTGCGTCTATCACGCTGTGAGCATCACACACACACACACACACACACACATGCACTCCTGATCCTGAGCAAAGCTTATTTAACATACTGTCGCCATCACCAGGGCCGGCCGTCCCCGAAACTACCCGCGCCCTCATCCGCGTCTAGGGTGGCAGAATAGAGAGAGCGGCGTCCCCGAAACTGTCCTCGCCACCCGCGCCCACAATTATATCCGCGTCTAGGGTGGCAGAATAGAGAGAGCGGCGTCCCCGAAACTGTCCTCGCCACCCGCGCAAACACAATTATATCCGCGTCTAGGGTGGCAGAATAGAGAGAGCGGCGTCCCCGAAACTACCCTCGCCATCCGCGCCTCAGTTATATCCGCGTCTAGGGTGGCAGAATAGAGAGAGCGGCGTCCCCGAAACTGTCCTCGCCACCCGCGCCCACAATTATATCCGCGTCTAGCGCGGCAGAATAGAGAGAGCGGCGTCCCCGAAACTGTCCACGCCACCCGCGCCCACAATTATATCCGCGTCTAGCGCAGCAGAATAGAGAGAGCGGCGTCCCCGAAACTGTCCTCGCCACCCGCGCAAACACAATTATATCCGCGTCTAGGGTGGCAGAATAGAGAGAGCGGCGTCCCCGAAACTACCCTCGCCATCCGCGCCTCAGTTATATCCGCGTCTAGGGTGGCAGAATAGAGAGAGCGGCGTCCCCGAAACTGTCCTCGCCACCCGCGCCCACAATTATATCCGCGTCTAGCGCGGCAGAATAGAGAGAGCGGCGTCCCCGAAACTGTCCACGCCACCCGCGCCCACAATTATATCCGCGTCTAGCGCAGCAGAATAGAGAGGGTGGCGTCCCCGAAACTGTCCTCGCCACCCGCGCCTCAGTTATATCCGCGTCTAGGGCGGCAGAATAGACCCCACCTCCCCGGTTTCACTTCAGGTTTGAGGGCGGCGTGACCGTTCTTTGCCTAGAGCGGCAGTTCAGCTTGCTCCGGCCCTGGCCATCACACACACTCACATGCATACACAGAGCCTGTGTTTACTACACTGTGAGCATCACACATACACAAACGCTATCTCACACTCCCAAACTCTCACACACTGTGTTGATTACACCTGGTCAGTATCTGAATGGGAGACCACATGGGAAAGCTAGGCTGCTGTTGACAGTGGTGTTAGTGAGGCCAGCAGGAGGCACCCAACCTGTGGTCTGCGTTAGTTCTTATGACCCAGTATAGTGAAGGGGACACTACACTGTCAGTGAGCGCCGTCTTTCAGATGAGACCTTAAACTGAGCTCCTGACTTTCTGTGTTTATTAATAACCCCATGGCACTTCTGGTAAAGAGCAGGGGTATAACCTCGGTGTCCTGGCCAAATTCCCTCCATCAGCCCTTACCATACGGTTACGGTTTGTTTTTGTGAATTGTGGGGACTTTACTATGTAGTCTATCTATGGACATATATACTTGCAGAATAATAGAATGTTTTGCAAATGAAAAATAAAGTGTTGAGCAAAAAAAAAATAAATGCAAATCTCCAAAAATCGCAAAGCAAAAATTCATATTTGAGAAATAAAAATAAATTTTGCTCACAAAAATATAGAACTGCAAAGGGAAAAGGAAGTTTTGAGAAATAAAAATGAAATTCGCAAACAAATAAAGAACTGCTAATTAAAATCATGCACTGCAAATCAACTAATATATATATATATATATATATATATATATATATATATATATATATATATATATATATATATATATATATATATATATATATATATATATATATATATATATATATATATATATATATATATATATATATATATATATATATATATATATATATATATATATATATATATATATATATATATATATATATATATATATATATATATATATATATATATATATATATATATATATATATATATATATATATATATATAT